GCTTGCTGCACCTGCTGTTGTCTCTCTCGCTGACCCCTCTGCGGGTCCGGTCGTCGCGCGCAGTTCTACGTCCCTTCCCTGTCCGGCAGTTCCCTCGGGCTCCCTTACTGGCCTCCACGTTCCCTCGTTCTCCAGGAACCTGGTTGGTGTCGGCTGTCTCCAGGACCTCGGCGTCACCACCACGTTCCCCGGGCACGAGCGGTTCGCTGTCTGTTCTGAGGCTGTCTCAGGTTCCCCCCTTGCGACGTTCCCCCGGGACCCGGTGTCCGGTCTGTTTACCCTACACACCGCTTCCCCCCCGGTTGGTGCGTCCTCCCAGGTCGCTGCAGCTTGCTCGTGTCGGTCCCTCACTCACCCCTCCCTTCTCTGGCACCACCGCTTAGGTCACCCTGCTCTCCCGCGTCTGCGTCACATGTCCCAGCACGGTCTTGTCTTAGGTCTCCCCGCGTCGCTCCCTGCCCTTCCTCCCTCGACTGCGCCACCGTGCACGCCTTGCGTCGAGGGTCGGCTCCGCCGTGCTCCTCACTCCTCCTCGCTGCGTCCTGCTACTGCCCCCCTTCAGACCCTGCACTTGGACGTTTGGGGCCCTGCCCCCGTCCCCGGACCGCGCGGTGAGCGCTACTTCCTTGTGCTTGTCGACGACTACACGCGCTACACCACGGTGTTTCCCCTGGAGCAGAAGGCCGACGTGCCCGACGTTCTTCTCCCGTGGGTTGTGGCTGCGCGTCTCCACCGCGGTCTCCCCGTGTTGTGTCTCCACTCCGACCGTGGCGGCGAGTTCGCCTCTGGTCGGCTTGGACAGTTCTGTCGTGCGGAGGGCATCACCCAGTCGTACACGTTGCCGGACTCGCCACAGCAGAATGGGGTTGCTGAGCGCCGCATCGGCTTGGTCATGGAGGTCGCCCGTACCTCCATGATCCATGCCGATGCCCCCCATTTTCTGTGGCCGTTCGCTGTTCGCTACGCGGCTCACCAGCTTAACCTGTGGCCACGCTCCCAGCGGCCGCAGGTTTCGCCGACCCTCCTTTGGACCGGGTCCCCCGGTGACGCGTCTGCGTTCCACGTCTGGGGCTGCCTTGCTCACGTTCGTGCCTCTGGCACGGACAAGCTCACTGCCCGCACTGTCCCCTGTGTCTTCCTCGGTTTCCCCCTGGACTCGTCTGACTGGCTTTTCTACCACCCGCCGTCTCACCGCTTCCTCCACTCTCGTGACGTCACCTTTGATGAGTCCGTCTCCTTCTACCGCCGCTTCCCTCACCGAGGTCTCCCAGTTGCCCCCCCCCTTTTCCTTGCTCCCTCTCCCCCGGTAGCCCCTGCCCCTCTCCCGCCTCGTCCTGCCCCGTCTGGTGTCTCCCACGTCACTCCCCTCCCGTCGGTTGTCCCCGTTGAGGAGTCTGCTGACTCTGGTGGTACCCCCGGTCCGTCCTTGCCGCGTCCCCCTTCCCCGGTGCCTCCGCCCCCACTGTCGCAGTCGCCGACCCCGCTGCCGCCGCCGTCGCCGTCGCCGCCGCAGCCGTCGCCGCTTTCGTCGTCGCCGCCGCCGCTGTCGCTGCCGCAGCCCTCGCCGCTGTCGCCGCCGCCGCAGCCGTTGCCGCCACTGCCGCCGCTGCTCTCGGCCCCTGGGGGTGCTGGTGTGGAGGAGGGTGTTCGTCCTGCGGCTTCTGGGGGTGCCGCTGGTGTTGGAGGGGGTTCTCGCTCTGGGGGTGTTGGTTCTGGGGGTGCTGCTGTTGAGTGTTCTGCCGACGGTCGTTCTGCCTCTGCTGGTCCGAGAGTTCCGGCCCAGCCGTCGTCGCCGCCGCAGCAGCCGTCGCCGCCGGTTTCCGCTCTCCGCCTGCTCGGCCTTCCCTCCCCGGACCGCGCGCCGGTGTCTCCCCCACCGCCTCCTGACCTCCCTGTCTACGGTCCTGTGTTCCCGCCGCCAGACTCGTCTCCGGCCCGTCTTCCTCCTCGTTCCCCTCCTGTGTCTCCTCCGCTGTCCCCTGACCCTACCCCTCCGTCTCACGTTTGGGCTCGCCGTCCCTCCCGTGCTCGTCCCGTCTCTCCTGTCCTGCCCACCCACCCTATGTTGCTCCGTTCCCACTCGTCTCGTCCTCCCCTCCTCCCGTCCCCTCCTCCCTCGTCCCTTGCTGTTGCACCTCCTCTGTTCTCTGACTACCTCCGTGCTGCTCGTCCCCTTGTCCCTCGGGTCCTTGCCTCTCTTGTTACCGACCCTGCTGTTCCTGTCTCGCGCCTTGACGCGCTTGTCGCTGCTGTCGCTGACTTCGCTTCTACCCGCCGCCTTGACTACGCTACCGCTCTGGTCTCTGACCCTGCCCGTCCTCTGTCCGTCGGGGGTGCTCCTGCCCTTGGCAGTGACGTCCTAGAGGACAGGCAGTACGAGCTGGCTTTCCTTTCCGAGGCTGCTCCCCATCTCTGCTCCATGCTGTTAGTCCCTGAGGGTGACCCAGACGCCTTCGACATCCCGACCCCTCGCACCTACGCTGAGGCCACCTCGGGACCTTGGGCCTCTCAGTGGATAGCTGCCATGGAGCAGGAGATGGCATCTTGGAGATCCACCGGCACTTACGTCGACGCAGTTCCCCCGCCTGGGGTGAACGTAGTCGATGGTCGGTGGCTCTTCAAGGTGAAGCGCCCCCCTGGAGAGCCGCCTGTCTTCAAGGCGCGCTACGTGGCCAGAGGTTTCAGTCAGCGCGAGGGGGTTGACTTCTTCCAGACCTTCGCCCCGACCCCGAAGATGACCACTCTTCGGGCGCTGCTACACGTAGCAGCACAGCGTGACTACGAGCTTCACTCCCTCGACTTCTCTACTGCCTTTCTTCAGGGCAGCCTACACGAGCAGGTCTACCTGCGCCGACCACAGGGCTTCACTGGTACCTTCCCTCCTGGGACCCAGTGGCTTCTCAGGCGCCCGGTCTACGGCCTGCGTCAGGCTCCCCGCGAGTGGCACGACACGCTACGTGCCACGTTAGCAGACCTGCAGTTCTTTCCGTCCTCTGCTGACCCTTCACTGTTTGTGCGTTCCGGCCAGACTCCGTTCTACATCCTTGTCTACGTAGACGACCTGGTCTTCGCTACTCCTGACAGGGACGCACTGGCCTCTGTGAAGGCTGAGCTGCTGAAGAGACACACCTGCACTGACCTTGGAGAGCTGCGTCGCTATCTTGGCCTGCAGATCTCTAGGGACAGAGCAGCACGCACCATCACTCTGACCCAGTCACACTTGGTGCGTCAGGTCCTTCAGAGGTTCGGTCTTCAGTTCTCCTCCGCACAGCCCACACCTCTACCCGTAGACCATGGGCTCTCTGCTCCCGTTCCTGAGGAGCCAGTAGAGCCCAGTGGCCCCTACGCAGAGCTGGTGGGTTGCCTCATGTACCTGATGACTTGCACTCGCCCAGATCTCGCATACCCTCTCAGCATCCTGGCTCGCTTTGTGGCTACAGGCAGACACCGACCTCAGCACTGGTCTGCCGCTAAGAGGGTTTTGCGTTATCTTGCTAGTACATCAGGCATGGGGTTAGTGCTAGGAGGACGCAGGCCAGTGGTCCTTACTGGGCACACAGACGCTTCTTGGGCAGACGACGCTGAGACGCTCAGGTCGTCGCAGGGCTACTGTTTCAGCCTTGGTTCGGGTGCTATCTCTTGGAGATCCACTCGCTCGTCGTCTGTGGCTCAGTCTAGCTGTGAGGCTGAGATCTACGCTGGTGCCATGGCGGCACAGGAGCTCCGCTGGCTGACCTTCTTGCTCACAGACTTAGGTGAGCGGCCTAGCTCTGCCCCGGTCCTGTACGCTGACAACAGGGCCATGATACTCCTGTGTCAGGAGCCTCGGCTTGAGGGCAGAGCGAAGCATATCCAGCTGCGGTACTTCCTCCTGCGCGAGCTACAGCAGCGCCGCCAGGCCCGCGTAGTTCACTTGGCCTCAGGTGCCAACACAGCTGATATCTTTACTAAGGCGCTTGCGCCTAAAGATCATCAGCGGCACTGTGTACAGCTTGGTCTTGTTCCTGTAGCTGCTCCCCTGTTAGGATCCTGATTGTGTACTCTCTATTATATATGCTTGTCAGACTGGCCTTGTGGCCTTACCTCCAGTGGCTGGACTAGTAGTGCCACCCTGGCTTGCTTCAGTTTTGGTTGTATTCTTGCTGACTGGTCTCCAGACCCCTGCCTCAGTGGTTGGACTAGTAGTGCCGCCCTGAGCTGTTTGCTTCTTGTTTAGTTTCACCCCTTGTCTAGCCTAGGGGGTGTGTCAACTTATACATATTATCTATGTAGAAGTTATAGGCTAGACTGAGGTATGCTTCTAGTGAGTACAACCAACTAGTATTTGTTCTAGGTTTCCACCTCTAGTAATCATTCGTTTCTACGTTAACAAATGTTTCTAGAGATTGGGGACTTCGCCGAAATTTCAGGGGTGTGAGGCACATGGATGTCGCACTCTGGGTTCGTATGCGTTGCTCCCTGGAAACTCAGTTTTGGCATAACGCAATCCCTAAAATCCCAAGTGTTCAGAAACTTACAGCCCTGAAGGGGCGAGGGTTAAGAAAATTCCAGCCCTGACAATTAAGGGTTGGCCAAAACAATACCCTGTGAAATCAGGGAATATGGGTAAAATACCCTAATAACGAGAGGCCTGATCCTAACCGCGCGAGGCACAGGTTCGGAGAAGGCATCCTAGGACGCGGAGCGCTCCGGAATGACGCGGAATAGTTCAGTGTAGCACGCACGGTGAAGGAACTAGGGCCTAGCCCGGTGCCGTGTACGTTCGGTGTACGCGCTAGCAGTGCGCTTGAGTAAGGAATTACTAATTACTTACATAAAGAGTGCTTCATTATAGTACTCAACGAGCAGATGTAACCAGAATTAGGATTCCCCTCGGCCCGCCTCACCAAGAAGTTCGTGTGGGCTTCGCCTCTCACTCACCTCACGAGTCACGACCAGCCTGGTCTTTTGCCTGCTTCCCACATGCCCGCCTAGAGATCTCCAACCAAACCAGCGGGGCGCATCATTCACTGGGCCAGGCACTAGTGTATGATGGCGCCCGATTCGCCGCCTGGTTCGCAAGTCAATTAAAGGCCGTCTGTGATTTCATCGCGCGGTTTTTCGTAAGGATAGGCAATAATGACCAGCGAGCTCCTGACCAATCTCTTTCACATTGTAAGCATTCCGCGACTGTCACTGGCACCCACCGATTCGCCATCGCTTGTACAGTAAGCGTCAGGGGCGAGCCGGGCTTGGACGCTCTTTAACAGGAAAGCAGCGTTGCCAATATGTCGTTTCCCTCCTTGAGCCAGTAATTACCGGTTTTCGACTTGCCGGCACAAATGGCGTTTACAGTCACACCCGCTGGTTGCCACGCTTTGGAATTGAGTGTCTTTTAAAGTTAGGAAGCTTCTCGTAGAATTGAATAGAAGCGCACTGCTAGCTTCGTCCGGTTACGCTGCTTTAGAGCGAGCTCGTTTCGGTCGGAAGGTCCATTGCTCGTCGCCGCCATTCAAACCGCGTCTCATCAACTGCTAACTAACCGCGTCTCTCTCTATCCTCCGTGCTTGCCCCTTTCAACCTGCCAGGAGAGCCCCGCCCACGTGTACTGGAAGCAGTGGCGCTTCATTCCCCGCCCTGCTCCTACTGTAACCCCTTCGCGCCCCCCCGCATCCCCCGCCGCCCCGAGCGCCCCTCACTGGCAGCGGCCGCGCGATGCGCATGACCCGCAGCAGACTCCGCGCAGCACCCCTCGTGCTGCCCCCGCTGCTGCTGCGAGCGCGGAAGAAGCGGAGGGAGGCGCGGGGAGATGGCGGAGCGGAGAGAGAGACGGCGGGGGGGAAGGGGTGGGCGGCACACTGGCGGCGGTGCGGGCGGCAGTGAGGTGGCAGCAGCGGTGGAGGGCGAAGGGCATGATGGCCGTGTGCTGCTGGGGCGAGGCGCGAGGCGCAGCAGGCGCACAGTGGGAGCCGCGCGTGTGGGTCTTCTGCTCCAACCCCGCCTTCTCCTGCCGCCCCCGCCCCCCCACGCGCCACCGCCACCACCAGCGGACGCGTGGGAGGGCAGGCCGGGGGTTGGGAGTAAGGGCAGGGGCAACAGCAGAGCGGAAGGGAGGAGGGGGAAGTAGTGTGGGTGGCTCTGTGAGAAGGCTGGGTGAGGCAGTGGCAAGCGAGGGCGCATGGGGTGGCGAAGGCCTTGCGATGAAACCCACTCGTACGGCCCACCCCACCCCCTTCATCTCCCTTCTCGACTCCCCTCGCTTGCACTCTCGCTTTCTCTCTCTTTCTCCCTCTCTCATCCTCCTCTGCTCCGCATCTTCTTTGTCACCCCCTTCTCCTCTCCTAGCCTCTCCTCTCCCTCACACACTTCGACCCCCCCCCCCCCCCCCCCGCCCCCGGCACCAGTGGCCGCATGGGGCTACTGGGCGGCCGATGGCGGCTGCGCGTCCTTCCGCTTCCACACGCCGCCCACTCGCCTCAGGCCCACCCACAGGGTAGCGGCGGTCTGGCGCGGGGTGAAGGCACGCGCGGGCACTGCTGGGGGAGGGCGGAGGGCAGCGGGGGGGACAGGGGCGAAGGGCGGAGGGCGGGACAGGGGGGCGAGGAAGAGAGGGCGAGGCGGGGGAGGGGGTGGAGGTGGGGGAAGAATGGCAAAGCGCGCCAGGGTGCTGGGCGGATTGGGTTCAGAGGGGCTGGAGAAGTTGCGCAGAGGGAAGCCAGGCGGGGAGCGCAGGGGACAGCAAAGCAGTCGAGGGGCGAGAGGCGCGGGTGGGAAGGGCAGAGGAGGAAGCAGGCAGGCGGGGAAGGTGGGGGAAAGGCGCACAGCATTGGGGGTGCGGATGGGGAGGAGAAGAGTGGGTGTGGGCGGAGTGAGAAGGGCGAGGAGGAGAGTGGTGATGGGCGGGGCAGGCCACGGGGAGGTGCTGTACTGGCTGTGCGAGGCGCTGAGACAGAGAGCCGCTCGGTCAGTGCATGCCACCACACCGTTCCTTGTCATGCTGCTCCCTGCTCCCTGTGGTCCATGGAGCACCACAATTGTCCAAAGGTCCAAAGGTCCCCCCCTGAAACGCTCTCCACCTTAACCCATCGCCGCCTCCTCCACCTCCCCAACGTTTGTTTTCTCCTCAACCCCTCATGCCTGTGTCTTGATGTTGCCGCCCCCACCCTTCCCACGCCCTTTCCCTTCCTCCCTGGCGCCCCAGGGCGTTCGAGGCAGCAGGGTATGTGGAGTTTGATGGGGTCTTTGTCAAGCCCACCAGCACACACAGGTGCGCAAACATGCATGCCATGCCGTGCCATGCCATGCCATGCCATGCGATGGTGCAGCCCAACCCATCCTTGCCGTTTCTCTCCTCTCCCTTGCTCAGCTCGGGTGTTGTGTGACATTGTAACGAGGTGACTTTTGAGTCGACTCAAAAGTCCAACCCATCCTTGCCATGCCGTTTCTCTCCTCTCCCTTGCTCAGCTCGGGTGTTGTGTGACATTGTAACGAGGTGACTTTTGAGTCGACTCAAAAGTCCAACCCATCATTGCCATGCCGTTCCTCTCCTCTCCTTGCTCAGCCAACTCCCTCACTTTTGGCCAACCCACCGCGCCGCCAACCATCTACCCTTGGCCTCTGGCGGAGTCCCCATCGGTATCTTTTGACCCCAACTACCTATGCAGCCAAGCCAGCCATGCGGCAGCCATTGCGTGTGAAGTGAGGGTGCGGCCGTCTGCCTTTGGGCTGCTGCTGCACACGCACCTCTCCACCAGGTAACCTCGCCTCTCACAGGAGCCAACGCATGACTCGTATTGAGGCGCCTCAAAACTGGACTCCTATCACGCATGACTCGTACATGTCGGCCACCAGCCAGCCATCACGTTCTGGATTTTCCATTTTGACCCTTTTTGCCTGTCCCTGGATCTCCTTCTCCTTCCGTTTGAACTCATGTGCCCCTCGGTGCGCTGCGGTGTTGTCTGCTGTGCGCCTGTTGCCAGGTCACTACGTGCATTGACTCCAGAGGACTTCACACAGCAACGGCCCCATGGCTCAGCGCTACCAGGTGAGTGAGTGCTGCCATGTGTGTGCGCGCCAACGGTGACCACATCGATGCTCGCTCCCTCTGCTGCCTCCTCTTTCCCCTCTCCACGACCATCAGCTTCCTAGGCTCCAACCTCCTAAGATATCCACTATCCCCCCCCAACCCCCGGCAGTCCTGCTGGGCCCAGCAGCATGGCCTGCCCTGGCCCACCGCCCCTCGCCCCCTCGCCTCGTGCGCTTCCTGCGGCGCTGGCGCGTGGAGCAGCATTTGAGGCACTTGAGGCACTCACAGGGAAGAGAGGGGAGGGGAGGGCCAAGAGCGAGAACAGTGAGGGTGAAGCAGGGGAGGAGTGCAGTGGGCGTGAGAGTGCAGAGGGGGAAAGGAAGGAAGGGGGGAAAGGGAGTGCAAGTGGCGAAGGGCAAGGGGAAGAGTGGTGGAAAGAGAGGTGCTGTTTGTGAAGGCGGGGGGGCTAGGGCTGATGCCACCGTGGAAGAAGCAGCTAAGAAAGGAGGGATGGGAAGAAAGGGGAAAGCAGCAGGAAGGGTTATTGAGGGAGAAGTGAGGACCAACAAGGCAGGAGAAGCAGGAACGAGGAAGAGAAGGGGGGAGGCAGTACGATCGAGAAAGGAAGTGGTGGTTGAGAGGAGGGGAAGGAGGAAGGTGGGGCAGGGATTAGACAAGAAGGTGGCTGGCGCTGATGGTGCGAGGGGTCGGAGTACGCCGAAGCGGAAGCAGGGGGGAAGCGGAGTGAAGGTGCAGCACACGCTGTGAGTGCATGAGGCATTGAGGCCACAGGGTTGGGGAATGGCAGGAGAGTCACCATCAGGAGAATCTGATGGTATGGAGCATGTAGTGCTGGCGCTCTTGTGCTGGGCGCTCTTGTGCTGGGCGCTCTTGCGCTAAGCAGCCTGGCGCTTGGCGCTTAAGTGCATGGCCTTGGTGTGGGGTTGGGTTGTATGGTGGACGGCCATGCTGGCATGTTGAAGACCATATGGCAGCAACAGCGATGGCATTCATGGGGTAGGGGGGATTCCTTTGCTCCATGCGTGCTGTGGTGAATCCAAAGTTTAATCCTCTATTCTCTTTCCCCTTTCCCCTTGCCCCTTGCCCTCTTTTGCTATCAGCAAGTGGCAGAAGCTGCTATCCCCTCACCGCCCTGCTGCCCGCCTCCCTCCAGCCGTCTCTGCCGCCCTGCAGCCGCCCCTGCCGCCCGCTGCTGGCCCGCCCACGTACGTGGAGGTGGAGCTGTCGGTGCCGGTGGTGGGCAGGCAGGGCGCAACCCGGGGGCGAACGAGGGGTGGCAGTGGTGTGGGCGGGGTGACGGGGGTAGAGGAGAGAGGGGAGGGCGGGAGGGTGGATGATGGTGAGAATGAGGGTCGATGTGGGGGAGAGAGAGGAAGGGGGGGCGATGGAGGGGGGATGGACAGGGAAGTGAGGGGAGGAGGAGAAGGGGAAGAGGAGGAAGGGGCGAGGGGTGGTGTGGCAGGGGGGGGAGTTGGCAGAGTGCAGGCAGTGGAAGGAAGAGGCAAGGAGGGTGAATGGATGGGAAGGGAACCAGCAGGCAGCGAGGGGAAGGGCAAGGGAGGAGGCGAGGGGGGGTCAGGAGGAGGGAGTGAAGCGGTGCTGCGGGTGCGCATGCTGGTGGATGCTCGACTCGCCATGCTGCCTCTCTTCCCCCCGCCTCCAGTGCACCTCCTCTCCTCGCGGTCAGTCCTGCCTCTCATGCTCGCACTCAGGGTTTCGGGTCTTACACACGGACTAATTGCATCTCCCCGTTGCCACAACGAGTTGGGTATGAACAGAGGCTGTTGCCCGTAGCCAAGTGCTCACGTGTCAGTCATACGCCCTCTTGCCATGTGCATGCTCATACTCATCCTCTCCCTCATCTCTCGTTCTCCCTTCTTCCCCTCACCACAACGTGCCGTGCCTCCCCTCGCCCCTCCAGCATCCGTCATCTCCTGCACGCCCACCAGCCATCACTGCTGCCGTCCACCATCTCTCCACCGCCCCACGCTGGTCATCCTCGCCCCTCCATTCTCCCCACCATCAACCCCGCGTCCGTGCCTCCTCTCAGCCCGACGTCCCCCTTCCAACCTCCCCCCGCCTCCATTCCTGCCTCTCAGTCGCCATCGCCACCCCTCTCGTCTCTCCCGCCCTCCCCCCCCTTCGCCCTGCCCCATCGCCTGGCGCTCGCTGCGCCTCTCTCTTTCCTCCGCTTGCTGCCCAGGTAGCGCCCTCTCCCCACTCCCTCCCCCCTTCATAACATGCCTGCTATGTGAAGCCTGCTATGTGAAGCCTGCTATGTGACGCCTGCTATGTGACGCCTGACATCGCTGCATGCTTTGCGCTTCTGCTCCATTCGCCTCTCCCTTTCCAACAGTGTTCCTCCCGTTTGTTACTCTCCGCCCATTGTCCCTTGTGTCTTGTCTGTCCCTTCGCCCCCATGTCCCCATCACAGGCCGCCTCAGCACCAGCCATCCCTCCATCTTCCTGCTCCACCGCCGCACACCCCTCACCACCCTCCTTCCCCTCCTCCCTCGGCCCACCCCACCCCTCCTGCCTCCTCCCCCACTGCGCCCACCGCTCCCCCCGCCCCTGGCCCTGACGTTGGCGCTGCTGCCAAGCAAGGGGAGGGGGGGGGGGAGCAGGACAGGGGGGGTGAGGGGGGCCGGAGTGGCAAGTCCATGGGCACATGGCAGGTGGTGGCGGTGGGGCGAGGGGAAGCCGAGGGAGCTGATGATGGCAGGGATGGCGACCGTGGGGAGCTGACATTAGCAAGGGGGGAGGAGGATGGCCAGGTGAGGCATGGGCCATGGCTGAGTTCAGCATGGTGAGGCATGGCGCGTGCCTTGTGCGTCGTTTTCCGTGATGGTAGCTGGGCGAGCATGTGCCTGTGAGGACCAGCCACCTCAAGCTTCTCTCGTCGCCACATGACCCCTCTGGATCATGCGCCTCATCCCTCTCCTCTCCTCTCTTCTCCTCTCCCCCTTTTCCCACATCCCTCGCCCCCCAGCAGCGCAGCAAGAGGGCGAGGGTGGCGGCCCTGGGTGCGCTGGACGGCATGCGGGAGCCGGACCTCTTCTGGTCGCACCCCCTCAACGCCTGGTTCATGGGGCAGGGGGGCGGCGCGGGCAAGGGCGGAGGCGAGGGGGCGGGCGAGGGGTTAGGGGCGGTGGCCTTGGGCGTGCAGCAGCTGGCGGCGGTGCTGGACGCGGTGGACGGCGAGGTGGTGGCGGGCATGCGCGCCCAGGGGGGCGTGGGAGCGCTGCTCCGGGAGGAGGACGGCGACGAGGAGTGGCTGGGCGAGGTGAGCGGGGCAGGTAGAAAGACGTGAGGAGGAGAGGGCGCGGAGGGCGTGGTGTGGCGCAGGCTGGCGTCTCATGCACTCCATCCGCCCCACTCCATTGTCTTGCCTTTCCGCTTTCACATTCCGTGCTGACTTCCCTCCTTCCCCCTCTGTTCCTCCATCCCCTTTCCCCCTCCTGTCTCCCCCCTCTTCTCCCACTTCTCGTCGTCTCATCCATCTTTTCTCCCCCCACAGCTACCCGGCCCACCTGCTCCCGCCCCACACACTGCCACACACCTCACCGCGCAGCGCGCATCCCATGCGCACGCCCACAACGGCACGGCGTCTGCGTCGCGTGCGTCCCTGGCGTCGCGTGCGGGGCGCAGGGCGAGGGCCATCCGCCTGGAGCAGCGTGTGCAGAACGAAGCGGAGGTGCTGCTGCCCCCCGCCTTCACTGCCGCTACCGGCGGTGCGAGGGCACATGCACACAGCTCAACAGGCAGTCAGGCATGGAGGTTGAGTGGAGACGCCATGGTGGGTGCAGGGCCCGCGAACGGGAAAACAGTTGGAGGAGGGGTGAGGGAGGTGAAGATTGAAGGAGAGCCAGCAGGGGCAGGAAGTGCAGCAGCAACCGGGGCTCAATCGAGGCTGTACCGCAGCTGCGTCCCGGTTTTTGCCCGCCGTGTGCTGCTGTCCCCGGAGTCACTTGGCGCACCACCCCCTTCCTCCCACCACCCCCACCTTCCAAGTGCGTCAACTGCTGCCGTTCACCCTCTGGACGCGCAGCATGCCAGCTCCACGCCCTCCGCTGCCATGGGCACCAGCAGCAGCACCAGCGCCCAGCAGCGATACGTGTACTCGGAGATCCCACCCCCCGCCACGTCCCTCCCCGCACTTGTCCCCCCTCGCCCACCGCATGACGCTTCCGCCACCACCCCCTCCTGCCCCGCCACTCCCCCCCTCTCCGACCACCCACTACACCGTGGCCCCGTGCTCCCCCTTCCCGCCGCTGCTGCTCCTGCAGCTGCAGTGGCGCCAACGCCTGATGGGCGGGGCAGCGGCAGCAGCACCAGCCTTGCTGCGACCAGTGCTGGCGTTGCTGCTGCTGGGGCTGGGGCAGGCGGGGCTGGTGCAGTAGGGGGTGCAGGGCCAGGGATGGGTGATGGTGCAAGGGAGGGCAAGGCCCTGCCTCCCTGCACGCCCTACGACCTGGTGCCTGCTGCCATGCCGACTGTGCAGGGGGGTGGGGGGGAGTGTGGTGGCGATGGGATGCAAGTGGAGGGGATGGTGAGTGGGGAGGCGATGGGAGTCTTAGGGATAAGGCTGGACGTGGAAGGGGGGGGAGGGAAAGGAAGGGATGTGAGGGAGGGGGTGAAAGGGAGAGAAGGCAAGGCAGAGCAGAGGCAGGCAGAGGCGGGGCGGAAGCGCAAAGCTGTGAGATTTGCGGGGGAGAAGGGGGAAGAGGAGGCAGAAGCAAGGAAAGATGGTGGCAGGGCGAAGGAGAGAGTGAGGCGCACTACAGGAGGTGGTGCGAGCACAGTGCAGGGAGCGATGGCAGGGTCGGTGGCGGGGGGGCAGACGGCGAAGAAGGGAAGGCTGCAGGGGGTGCAAGGGAGGGTGACAGAGAAGAGGGATGATAAGGCGGGCAAGTCAGCGCGAGAGCAATGTGAGGAGCGAGAGAGCAAGGTGCGTGCGGTGGATGGAGTGAAACAAGGGAGGCGTGCTGAGACAGCGCTCAAGGCTGGTAGCAGGGCCAGAGGGAAGGTGACAGGAGGCAAAGCGGGGGAAAGGAAGGAAGGACGGAGGCAGAAGGAGAAGGGCAAGGGTAAGGGCTTAGTCAAGGGGAGTAGAGCGGAGGTGCGTGGTGAAGGGGAGAAGGGCAAGGGAATGCTGGTGAGATGGAGGGTGAAAGGCGACACGGGGCAGCATAAGGGCGAGCGTGTGAGTGGCAGGGCAGTGGGGGGAGGTGCGGTGAGATTGAAGCGGAAGGCCGCAAGTACAGGGAGAGCGAGGCAGCGGAGGAGACAGCGTGTGGCACGTCACTGGTTGGTGGGGGCAGAGGTGAGTGTGGGAGGGAGTGGGAGGGAGAGCAGGGAGGAGTGGGAAGTGGTGCCTGTGCTGGGGCTGCGCGAGGAGATGGCCATGATCAAGCTCCTGCTCTCGCATCCACACGCCCATGCCACAGCACAGGAGGACGTTTGTGTGTGCAGTCATGCAATGGAGGCAGCTGGCAGCAGGTCGCAACTGCAGGGTGGCAGTGTGCCACAGGCTGCCACCTCCATTGATCATGGTGCTGCTACTGGTGGAGTTGCTGGTGGAGTTGCTGGTGGTGGTGCTGCTGCTGACGCTGTGCCAGCACCGGATCGGCCGGCCATCCCGCTGTCTACGTATGGAACGACAGCAGCAGAGGCCCATGAAGCGCAGGAAGCAGTGGACGCCGTGCACAGGCCTGGCGCCACTCCAGCATCACCACCAGCAGTGCCGTGTGCCGTTGTGCGCCAGGCCGAGGCTCTGAGGGACCCCTCTCTCGACGCCGCTCTGCTGGCAGCAGCGCACAGCAAGTGCCCGTGGTGCGCGCGCTGCTCGCCCTCGCCACCCGCTGCCTCGTCCTCTCCGCGTCACCAGCAGCACCACGCCACATGGGCCGGCACACACTCGGGATTGTCGCTGCTGGCGCTGTGTGGGGATGCAGGCGTGGCCGGTGGTGGTGGTGGCAGCAGCAGTGCAGGGCAGCGCATCCTCGCCAGCCTGCAGGGAACTGTGAGTGACACAACTTAGGGTGACCTAGGGCCCTCACACCTAGGACGCTTCACTGCTGGGGGTCTGCGGCTTAGGGTACGGCTACCAGGTGCCAGGAGGTGGGGTTCTCCTCCTCTTCCTCCTCTCCACTGTACTTCACTTCCCCCCTCTCTCTCCCCCCCTCCCCCCCCTTCTGTCAGTGTACATATGTACACATACAAAATATGTAACGCCCTGTCCCTGTGCCTCCCTCCTCCTGCCAACACCCCTTTCAGCTGCCGTCACCCCTGACCGCTGCTCTGCTGTGCGGTGAGATCAAGTCGCTCCTCCGCTCCGCCTTTGGCTCTCGTCGCCTCACCGGCCCCCTCTCCCTCCCCGCCATCGCTGCTGCCACCCGCCCCAGTCCTGCCACCCCCTCCCCTTCCCCCGCTCCTCTCACCACCTCCAAACCGCCCCCTCCTGTTCCTGACGCCACGCCTGCTGCTGCTGGAGCTGCAGCAAGGGCGGGGGAGGAGGCAGGGGAAGAAAAGGATGGGGGGAGCGGGGGCAGGGAGAAGGGAGAACTGAAGGAGAGGTCAGCGACGAAGGTAGGTGGCGGTGAGGCAGGGGGCGGTGGCGGGGAGGGGGATAAAGGTGGACGGCAGGGAAGGGGTGCAGATGGGGATGGGGTTGTGAAGGACGAGGTGGAGGAGGGGGAAGCGGTGGAGATGGAGGAAGGGGAGGCGGGAGAGGAGGGGGCTGTGGAAGAGGGGGAAGCAGTGGATGTGGAGGGGAGGGAAGGGGCAGGACTGGGGGGGAGCAGGAGTGCAAGGGAAGGCAGGTTGGATGGGGTGAAGGGTGTGGGTGGTAAGGAGGGGAGGGACAGGAGCAAGGGGCTAAACGAAGAGGGTGAGGCAAGGGCCGTGGGCCAAACGGATGGAGCAGGCAGAGGGAAGGCGGAGGCTGGCGTCTTGGATGCACGTGGGGAGGGCAGGCTGGCAGAGGGTCAGAGGAGGAACGGGAGAGGAGGGAGTGGAGGGGAGGAGGCGGAGGGCAGTGAGGAGGCGGGCAGCGGAGTGCGCAGCGTGGTGGCGCTGTGCCCGCCCGCGGTGCTGGTGGGGTATCAGGACGACTGGCTCGCCACCTCGCCCTCGCTGCTCCGCCTCTGGGACAAGGCACCCCTCGAGCCCTACTGCCTGCCCAAGCCGGTACCCGTACCCCCATTCACCCACCTCCACTCATCTTATATTGTTGTGATTCCCTATCATCTCTCGCCCTCGCTTCCTCACCTGCCCCGATGCCTGCTGTTTCACCGTGTGTGTGTGCACGTCTATATGTGCTTGAATGGAGAAAATTCACTCTCCCCACATTCTCTTTACCCCTCAACCCCCACCTCCCCCCGCCTCCTCCCGTCCCACTCTCTCCACTTTCAGCACACGTTCTTCCCTTCCCCCCTTCGTCCCACGCCTCCCCCACCCCACCCCCGTGCACCCTCCCAGCTGTCCGTGCTGGCTATCTGCCCGGCACTGCCTGCCATCGCTCGCCCCCTCCGCTCCTTCCTCTCCGACCTTGCTGCAGGTGCGCCCCTCACCCCCTCGCACTCTCGCCCCCCCTCTCACCCCCTCTCTCAACCGCGTCGTCCACTCTCGCCGCCCAAACCGCAGCTGCTGCTGTGCCACTCGCATGTGCCACTCGCATCGCACGCCCCCCTTCTTCCTATGCATATTCACTTGCTTCCCACACTCTCTTCTGTTCCAATCTGTTCGCTGTCCCCTACTCCATAGCCACCTTCCGCACATCCCTTCCCCTCCCTCCCCCACCAATTTGCCCCACAGTGTATGAGGCATGCTCCCTGGGGACCTTCTCACCACTGCTGCCCCTCTCCCCCGCCGCCGACCACCACCACCCCCCGGGCATGCTGCCTGTGCCGCTGCCCCCTGTGCACGTGCCCCCTGCCTGCGCCGTGCATGCGTTCAGCGACAGCCTGGCCTCTGCTCTCTCCAGGCTGCCAAGCGCCGCCCTCTTCCCCCCCACCAACTCCACCGACCCTGACCTCTGCCCCTCCACGGTGCCACCCCAACCCGCTCTCCTGCTCTCTCATCCCTCTCACTCACTCACTCACTCACCCTCCTGTTCAAATCGCTCTCCTTCCCTCCACCCCCCTGCTCTTGCTTGTCCCTCTCTGTGCCTCTCGCCCCATGCATCTCTCGTGCACCTCGGGTGAATCTCCACCCCACCTGCCTCACTCCATGCTGTCAGCTCCTTCAACTCCCCCTCAAAATAGTATTGCATTTCCCGACACCCGATTGCCGCCTGTGCTTGGACTCATGCCGCCGCCCCTCCCTGCCCCTCCCCTGTGTGTTGCTGGCAGCTACTCGTGCTGGTGTGCCCCTGGCCATCCCCTGGGGCGGCTCTCTCTCTCTTCCTCCGCACTGCTGCCCACACCCACGCCCTCACGCTCGCTGCTGCCAAAGGTGCTCCTCGCATACCTCTCATGGGCCTCTTTGCTCCTGTGCCATGCCATCCCATTCGTGTCTGCCACTCCCGTCACCTCTCTTCGTCTCATCCTGCCAGTCTGTTTGCCTCCATCACTGTCCTCTTCTCCTGGTGCTGCTACACTGAATCCCATGCCTCACTCATCTTCTCCCTCCCATTCCCCCATCCCCCCATCCCCCCATCCCCCCATCCCCCTCCTCCAACTACTGTCCCTCAGAGTCATCCGCCTCAACATCTCCCAGAGCCTCCCATCCCACCGCCCCGCCCACTCCCGCCCACGCCCCGCGCCCCCTCACTGTGCACCTGCTGCCCCTGGAGCACGTGCTGTCTCTCTCGCACGCCGCCCGCGCCAGCTCCCTGCGCCAGCTCGCCCTCTCGCTCTTCTCCAAGGTCCGGCGCTCCCCCCTCCCGCTGCCACACTGCCCCGCACAGATTGGCGGGGAACTTGCAGCCGCAGAGGCAGGAGAGAGCGTACACGGGATGGGGGAAGGTGGGAGGGGCATGGACGTGAGAGGGGGTGGTGAGGGCAGCAGTCATGGGGGGGGAAGTGTGGGGGCGCAAGCAGCCAGCGGAGCAAGTGGGGGAGAGGTGGGAGGGGGTGCGGTGAGGAGCAGTGGCAGTGGTGGTGGTGGCGGTGGTGGTGATGTGAGTGGCGATAGGGATGTGTTGAGTGAGTTAGCGAGGAGGGGAGGGGGCGCAGGGGCCATTGGAGTGAGGGGCGGGATCATGGACCGACTCGGAAGACAGCCTCAGCAATCGCCCACTGCTGCAGCAGTGGCAGGAGGATCAGGCACTGCAGCAGCAGGCGCAGCAGCGGAGTCTAGTGGAAGTGGTGCAGCGAGAGTGGACGGGGCGTCTACCCCTGGGTCCGCCTTCATGCCGGCACATCCCCCCGCCTCCTCTGCCCCTCCTCTCCCACCTGCAACCCCCTGTCTTCTCCACGAGCCCCCTTTCATCCTCGCCTCCCCTGGTTCAGCCTGCCGCTCCCTCTCCCTGCCTTGCACGTCCAGCCCTCACCCTGGTGATGGGGAGCACACAGCAGCAAAAGGGGGGCAAGGGCAGGCGGGGGGGAGTGGGGTAACGCACAAGGGGGAGCAGCAGGGGAGGAACGATGGCAAGGCTGGGTGGCAGAGGGAGAAGGTGAGCTGTCAGCCGTCGCTCTCCCCGTCTCTCACGGCTGCTGCCACACCTGGAGGCATGGCGGCACTGCAAGCAGGTGCCCGAATGGGTGCGGCGGCAGGAGGGGGTGCAGGGGTGGCTGGGGCAGCACCTCCATCCACTGGAGGGGCAGGGGGGGTTGTTTTGGACGGCAAGGCACCGCTATCACTGCACTGTGTGTACATGTGGGGACACGATGGTGCCCCTGGCCTTGATGCAGAGGCAGCGGCGCCGTGGGTGGTGGCGGTGTGGACGGACTCCAGGGGCGAGCTGCTAGAGTCACGCGTGGTGCGCGGGCCAAGGGGGGGGGGAGGGGGCGCAGAGGGCGGGGTGGGGACATGCGGTGATGGGAGAGGAGAGGGAGTGGAGGGGAATGAAGGGAGGGATGGGCGGGATGTGGTTGAGGGGAGGATGGGAGGTAGTGGAGGGGGAGGGGCAGGGGTTGGAGAAGTGGGTAGGGGTGGGGAGGGAGGTGGTGAGGAAATGAGGGGGGATGGGCGTGGCGTGGAGGGGGGGAGAGGGGATGGGATGGAGGTGGATGGGGGAGTGGGCATGGGTGAGAGTGGTGGTGGTGGGCAGGCAGGGATGGCAGCTGAGAGGCATCGCGGTGACGAGGGCGCACAGGGAGCCACAGGGGCAGCAGCAGGAACAGCCACAGGAGTGGCAGAAGCAGCAGCAGCAGCAGCAGCAGAAACAGCAGCAGCAGGGGCAGCAGCAGCAGGGGCAGCAGCAGCAGGGGCAGCAGCAGCAGGGGCAGCAGCATCTGGGCAGCGGCTGTCTGCATCTGCGCCTGTTGCTCCCTCAGGCTGTGCGCCTGGCGATGGCAGCGGTGGCAGAGGCAGTGCAGGGAGGGCAGGGAGGAGCGCGTGGGTGGGGCGGATGCGGGGGGTGTTTGAGGAGGTGCTGCAGGTGGGCGTGGGGGTGGTGGCGCTGCTGCTGGACAAGGCACGGCAGCAGGCCAGCAGGGATGCGGACAAGGGGCAAGGGGAGGCGGGGAGAGAGCGGCAGGGCGGTGGGGACAGCGGTGAGGAGGACTGGTGGATGGCCCCGCGGCCGGTGTATGTGGTGAAGGCAGGGCAGGGCATGGCACGAGGGGAACTGCAGGGTACGCCTCTCAACCGTGCCATGCATTTCTGCCGCTCTGCCCCTCGCGCCTCTCTGCCGCTCTGCCGCTCTGCCCCTCGCGCCTCTCTGCCGCTCTGCCGCTTTGCCCCTCGCGCCTCTGCCACTCGTGCCTCTCTGCCACTCATGCCTCGCTGCCTCTCTTGTGGATTTTTCTCCCCGTTTCATTCATCCAACTGGCTCGCCAATGCTTTGCATTACTTGCTTTACTCGTGTCTCTTGCTTTGTCTCTCTGCCCAGCCTACAACCCTCCAATGCTGTCATCTGTATGCCTGTGCATGTTTGCGTATGTGCGTGTGTGTGTGTATGTGTGCGTATGTGCGTGTGTGCGTATGTGCGTGTGTGTGTGTGTGTGTGTGCGCGCGCGCGCGCGCGCGTGCATGTGTGTTTGATTTTGTGGTTCGGTGTGTGTGTGTGCATGCATCAGCATGGGAGCAAGCCATCGCGTCTCTCTCCTCCTCCTCCTTCCGCCCAGTTTTCTCCGCCTCTCCTTGCCACGCCCCGCACCCAGCCGCGCGCCACCCCACACCCACCAAGGGCATGTCCTGTGCAGCAGCAGGGGGGGCAGCAGGAAGGCAAGCAGGCAGAGGCAGCGAGGGAGGAGGGCAGGCTGCTGGGGCTGGCGGGGGGGAGGAGAGGAGGGAGGGGTCTCCAGGCGTAAAGGTCCCTCCGTTGGAGCGCATGCCTTGGCAGCCACCCCTTGAGCCCGCCTCTGCCTCCCTGCCCCCCCATGTGCGCGGGCATGAGACCGACCAGGTGGATGGCCGCCTGCCTGGGCAGGCTGGCAGCAGCGCCTACCACACGCCCACACCGGGATCTCTCGCCCATGCCACGCCCCTTGCTGCCACCGCCCCCCCTCACCTGCCCGCCCTTAGGACAGGCACACAGGAGGAGAGGCTGGAGAGGCATGGGGTGGATGCGGGGGAAGAGGGGATGGGCATGGGCGAGGGGGTGGAGGGGTGCGTTGGGGGGGACGGAGGGCGGGGTGGTGGAGGGGGAGAAGGAGTGCCGCGGGTGTGGCAGGGGATCGCCAGTGTCACCATCGCATGGCTGCATGTGGTGCCGCACCTGCAACTCATGTCAATACTGCAGACCCACCCCCTCACACCCTCTCCCCTCTCCACACCTGTTCTCCCCATCTCCTCCCCTTCCCGTTCCCCCTCTATCCTCCCCCTTGCCCCCCCTGCTCTCTCCCCCATGCATCCACACACCTCCTGCGCCACCCCACTCCCGTCTTCCCTTGCCAGCCGTCTCACAGCCACCACCCCCACCGCAGTGCCCCCGCTTGAGCCCTTCTCCCCTCCCCTTGCACCCCTGCCCCCTTCCTCCCGTGCCGCTTCCTCTCCCATCTCTGCCCACCCCGCCACACTCTCCCACTCGCTCTTCCTCCCACGCCTGCCCCATGAGCGCGCTCACCCCCCGCACCCACCACTCCCCTCCGCACCCCTGCATGGGGCAGTGGGCACCCGGGGTGCGTGGCAGTCCTCCCAGCAGCACCGCGCAGGGGCCACGCTGCTGCTCGTGCCGCATGCGCCATGGATCGACCTCTCTACCCCCACACACTCCCCGTGCAACCCTCCCTTCTTCCCTCCCACTCCCCTGCACCATTTGCACCTCCCCTCGCGCCTCCCCCTAGCTCTTGCCCCGCGCCAGCCACCAAGACGGCAGCGCCGCCTGCCCCTGCTGCTGCCACCACCACCTCCTCCCCCCTCCCCATGCCCCCCACTCCCAGTTCCTCTGCACCCGCTTGCACCGGCTCACGTGACACAACTGCTGCTGCAGCGACTGACGCGGCAGCAAGAGGAGGAGAGGAAGAAGCGGAAGGCAGGCAAGCCAATGGGGAAAGGCAAGGGACGGACGAAAGCTAGAGTGGTATCAGTGGGCGTGCGAGGGAAGACTGGCAGCAGGGGCACAGGGAGCAAGGGTAAGGGAGGGAAGAAGACGGGGCGGGCAGGCAAAGGCGAGGCAGCTAAGGGTGACAGCAGAGCAGAGAGTGAGGCTGGTGGGTCCAAGGCGAGGGAAGAGACTGTAGAGAAGCAGGAAGGGGAAAGGCAGAAGGGGAAGGCGAAGAAGGCTGAGAGGATGTCAAAGGAGAGGGGTGTGCGTGGGGTGAAGGATGTGGAGGGGCAGGAGAAGGATAAGGGGATGAGTAGTAGGAAGGTGCAGGGTGGGAGGAAGAAGAAGAGTGTTACGATTGGGAAGAAGACAAGTGGTGCGAGTGGGAAGGAGACAGGAGTTGCAGGTGGGAAGGCGAAGCAGAGAAGCGGTGGCAGCAAGGAGGGCAACGTTGTGAAGGCAGTGAGGCGGAATGGGAAGCAGGGCAAGGGCCGGGAGGCAGGGAGGTCAAGTGGTGCAGCATCAGGCGCACACAGGGAGGCAGGCAGGGCGAATGGCAGTGGCAGGGGGGGGCGCAGGGGGCCAGGGAGGGAGGGGTGGCGAGTGTGGCGTGAGCGAATGCGAGAGGTGGGGCGCATGGTGCGGGAGCTGACGAGTGGGCAGGAGGATGGGAGGGAGGGCGTGCGCGGAGTGGCCACGGCAGTGATTCTCAGCACAGCCACGCACCGCGGGTGCGTGGGAGGGGACGGGTCAACAGCGGCAGCGGCAGGCAGTGCAGCCTGGTGGCTGGGACTGGAGGGGCTGTCGATGGGGGCGGCACAGGAGGCGTTCAGGCTGGGTGTGCCATGGCAAGGCGCGCACCAACCCCCTGCCACCACAAGCGGACTCTTCACCCGCTCTCCGCTCGCTGCTGCTGCTGCTGGCAGCCCTGGTGGTGGTTTGGGTGCGAGGCTGGGATCACACTCAGCAGCACATGCAGGCATTGCAGCTTTAGGCAGTGCTGCTGCTGTTGGCTCCTATCCCTTCCCAGTGCCAGCAGCAGCAGCAGGCAGTGGCGTGATGGCAGGAGGAATTGGGTGCGGTGCTGGAGGGGGTGTGGTGGCTGTTACTGTCGCGGCTCACTTCACTGCTGCCACTGTTGCTGCAGTCGCACAGCGGAGGGAGCGGGAGACAGAAGGCAAGCTGGAAGGGAGGGATGCGCCAGTTGAGAGCAGCAAGGGACCACGTGTGGTGGGGAGAGGTGCTGCTGCGAGGCACAGGGCAGGGGATGCAGTGAGAGATGGCGCGAGAAACGAAGGTGGTGCTGGGGGGGATGTGGGAGTGAAGCGAGGGAGGGAAGGGGAGGGCAGTGGGGCAGGCGGAACGGAGGAGGGAAGTGTGTGGAGCAGCAGGAAACGACAGCGGGTGGGGTCAACTGGTGGAGGGGCGGGGAAAGGTGGTGAGGGGGAGGGGGTGCAGGGTGGTGGGGAGAGCGATGTGGAAGGAGGCAGGGAGGGGGGCGTGGAGTGCAAGGGTGCGGAGATAGATGCGAGGGGCAGAGGCAGCAGTGATGGCACAGCACATGCAGAGCACAGAGAGGCACAGGCGGGGGATGGCGGTGAGACGAGGGAGGGGGCACAGCACAGTCATGGAAGGGGTGCCGGAAGTGAGGGCGGGCGGCAAGGAGAGGAGAGGAGGCAGAGGGTGAAGGGCAGCGTGGGGGCTGAGAAAAGGGGAGGCGAGGTGGGAGGGAGTGACAGTGAGTGGTGTGAGGTGGCAGCGGATGGGGCGGCAAGGCGTGTGGCGCAGCAGCTAGGTGCGGAGCTGCACGCGCTCACGTGGCTCTCCGCGTCGCCCGCCAGCCCCTCCCCGCTCTCCCACCTCCCCTTCCACTGCCTCGTCGCCGCGCGCCTGCTGCTGCTGCTGCAGCACTGGCCCTCCGCTTCACCCACTGGCCAACCAAGTGGGGCGGTGCGCGCAGTGGGTGATGGCGGCATGGGGGGAGGAGAGGGCGTGGAAGCGCAAGGCGGAGAGCAGGCAGCACATGTGCCCACGCACAGCCAGGATGCATGCTTCTGAGCACATAAACGGTAGCATAGCATGCCGCTGCTGCTCACACGGTTCCGAAGCTGCACCATGCAGCCGTGCAACGTGTATTGGTGCACTAGGGTAGGGGAAGTGCTATCAGTCCGCCTAACATTCCTGTATTCTTGGCAACCAAGTTATGAGGCAGCCCTTTTGCCCTTTTGCCCTTCTGTTATGTTGTTTTCTCTCTATATGACAAAGCTCTTTTCATTCCACTCAAGAAGCTTTAACTCACGCAACAGGCCGAGGCTGCAGCTCGCTACGGCACACACTAGATTACAGGTGGCGTTTGCCACAATCAGCTCCTACCCAGCACCAAGCCTTTTTCCAGTCTGCCTGCCATGGGCAGCCCTTTCCCCTGTGTGTGCCCAGCCTTTTCCACTGGGCACCTGTGTATGTCCTGCCCTGTGAGCCCCCCCCGCCATCAGGAGGCGATCCATTGCGAGAGCATGCGGCCGAGGTCGTAGCGCGTGGAGAGCATGGGCTTGGAGGCGGCCCAGGCGTCAGACCCCATGGTGCAGTGCGCGACGGCGCTGAAGAGGAACGCCTTCATCTTGCTGCCGGCGGCATTGCGCTCCTTCACCACGTCGCGCACCGTCTGCTCCATGCTGCGGCTGTACCGCGTCAGCGTGTCCGTCGTGTTCTTGGGGCACGCCGCCACGTTGCCGCGCCGCATGCACGTGCGGATGGGCGCGCCCTCGGGGATGGCCTCGGGGGCGAGCGTCTTGGAGATGCCCGAGTAGTCGAGCACGCTCTGCACGAGGAACAGCGGCGTGCGCACGAAGTGCAGCCCGTACTGCGGGAAGAAACACTTCCACGTCTCGTTGCGCGCTGCGTAGTCTGGGGGGGGCAGGCGAGGGCAGGTGGGGGACGGCAGACGGCAGACGGCAGGGAGATTGGGGTACAGGTGCGAGCCGATGAGATTAGGGTGATGGGAAGATGTCCAAACAGAGATAAGGTGCGCTACAGGCGAGAAGGAAAGGACATGAGTGGGCATGGACATGGGCACGGGCATGGGCATGGGCATGGGTATGGGCACGGGCATGGGCATGGGCATGGGCATGGGCATGGGCATGGGCATGGGCATGGGCATGGGCATGGGCATGGGCATGGGCATGGGCATGGGCATGGGCATGGGCATGGGCATGGGCATGGGCATAGGCATGGGCATGGTCATGGGCATGGGCATGGGCATGGGCACAGCACTCACACTTGGCGCATGCGGGGTGCACTCCCGCCTCCATGTGGTGCAGCGCGAAGAGCGTCTGCACCGTGCCGCGGAAGTAGTATGCGCCCGTCACCGCGGGGGCGTCTGGGGCGCGCAGCGCACACAGGGGACACAGGGGGCAGAGGGGACGGGGCGTTTGAGCGAGTCGAGCCAGTGCGCATTGGCAATGAGCAGAGGGAGCAGGAGAGAAGCTCTAGGTAAGTATTTGTTGGTGGTGAGCTAGTAGGAGTGCGAGCAGTGAGGGCGCGGTTACCTAGGAAGAAGCCCGCGTCCATGATGCACTTGAACGACGGCTGCAGCGCCGCTGGCAGCGAGGCGGCCACGGAGTCGCACACCATGGCCACGGCCACGGCGCCCGCGCTGCACCCCGACAGCACCACCTGCTGCGCGCCCGCCATGCCGCGCTGCTGCAGCAGGTCTGAGGGGAGGAAGGCAGCAGGATCGGGAAAGGGGGGCGGCTGTATGAGAAGGTGCGACCAATGTACCCGTGCAGAGTGCAGAGTGCAGGGTGCAGCCGTACAGAGTGCAGCCATGCAGAGTGCAGCGTGCAGAGCGTCCAGTGCGATGGCGACGTGAGTGGTGGGCGAGTCTGATTGCACTGCGTTCCATGGGTTGCTTCCACAGCGGACGCCGAGAGCACGGCACGGCACGGCACGGCATGGCACGGCATGGCATGGCATGGCATGCGCGCAGCAGCAGCTGGCACCGCACCTTGGATGACGGCCTTCAGAATGCCGGCGCCCATGGCATACATGGCAGCGCCGCCGCGCTTGACGGCGCCGGCGCCCCCGGCGAAGCTGGCGCCATCGCAATACTTGACGAGCACCACGTTCCAGTTGAAGAACAGCGGGTTCACCGTCGCGTTCAGACTCCCGATGCCGCCCATCAGCGCCGACGCCGTGCCCTGCACGCCGCGCGCGCGGACCGGCGGGGGCGAAGGAGGGGGGAGAAGGGGAGGGGGGGGTGGGGGATGAACAATGGAGGATGTCGCTTGGTGTTGAGGTGAGGCTGGGGAGGCAGGGGATAGAGGGGCGCGGAGGAGCGGGAAGGAGTGTGCAGCGGCAGGGGCATCATGGATGGGTGGCGCATGCGCGGACTGCACCGTGCGAGCGGACGACTCGGGTGGGGGCGCTCACTCACCCCAGACGACGCGGCTTTGCCGGGCTGGCCGGGCACGGGGTTGGGCCAGGTGGCGCTGCTGCCGAGCCCCGTGGCCTTGCGCCGCGCGCACCGCTGCATGTTGAAGCACCACCCGCCGCCCTGCGCGCACACGGACGATGCGGTTGCCACAGGCGCAAGGTTGAGAACGCGGCGGGCAGGGTGTGCGGAAGGGCAACGGTTGTGGTGGAGGGAGGGGCAGAGAGGGGACGGGAGGGAGGGGCGTTGGAGGTGGCGAGGCGGAAGGGAATGGGGGGGATGACGGGACGGGATGGGCAGAGGAATGCGCGGAGCAGCGGCAGATGGCTTAGAGCGCAGTGGGAGGATGACGGTGGGTGCGTGCACACGACGTGCGCAGGTCGTGCCATGGAACGCACGAGCCCTCCCGCTAAACAACCCCACCCCCCCTCACACGTCTGTGCAAGAGTGCCCACTGGCCCCGTCCCTCCACGGCACGGCGCAATGGCTACTCTTGCCATCCAGGCCCCAGTGCGCGCTTTCCCCGTCCCCAGCCCACCCTCGCCCCCCCCCCCCCCCACGCACCTCCAGAGTGATGAGCCACCGCCTGCTGCCCGTGCCGGTGCCGCGCTGAATGTAGTACCCGGGGGGGCTGGGGGCGGGAAGGGGGACGGGGCAAAGGGGGGGGGGGGGGGGGGGGTATGGTTAAGAGCGGGGAGAAGGGAGGGCATGCGAGCGGTGTTCGGGGGGAATCCGCTGAGCGCAACGGCGGCACGTGGCAGGTCGGTACCTGCCGTCGAGGCATCGCGGCGCGTTGCTGTTGGCAGTGCTCAGCAGCACCTTCGTCGTGTCCGCGCTGCTCGCCTGCGTGCCGCCCACGCCTCGAGCTACCTTCTCAGAATTGCTCGACCCGCTCGAACCACCCCCCTTACTGCTACCACTACTCCCGCTACTCCCGCTACTTCCGCTACTTCCGCTACTTCCGCTACTTCCGCTACTTCCACTGCTTCCGCTACTGGCCCCCACGGGCGACCTGTGGTGGCCTTTACCGGGCGGATGGTGCCCGCCTTTCGCCGCTTGCCCGCCACTGGTCGGCGGCGACCCTTTCGCTATGCGCGTCTGCACCGCGGGGCTCGGAGGAAATGGCGAAGGTGGCGGAGATGGCGGAGGGTAGCTGGGGGGAGGCGGGGAACCGGAACTTATTAGCGCGGGTGCTCGAAGCAGCTGCGGGGAAAATTCAATGCCGGCAGGGCGCGCGTCGGACAAGGACTCGACTGAAGGGTGCGGGGTTCCGCCGACGCTCGCGGTCTCCGCATTGAACAGCGCGGTTTCCCTCTGCTCCGCCAGTCCGCGAGCGGGGACAAGTCGCTGGGCGCTGGCGGAACGGCGCGTCACCCCCCATGCGCGCTCGCCGTCCGCGAGGCCCGCACCTACTGCTGGCGATGCTAGGCGTCGGGGGGAGTTGCGGCGACCAGTAATGAGCGGGAGGTCGACAGACGGCGGGAGTCGAACGGATAAGGACTGACGCGAGGGGGCGGCAATGTGTGCGGCGCGTGCCAGGGAAAAAGGAAGGGCGGCTCGAGATGCGACGGAGGTGAGGAGGAGAAGGAAAGAGGAGGAAATCAACGAGCGTTGTGTTGCACGACGCGGGCAAGGACGCCGTTGTATCCGCGCGGCACACGCGCTCGCGCTCTCCACTTCTCTGATCTGGACAGCCGCTCGGAACGGCCGAGACGGCCGATCAGCAGCGGGGGGTGGCATTACTTACAAATCCCTATCGGGATGTTCTTACGAGCGACCTTGGAGGCATCTGAGCGTCAAGAAATCTTCCTGGTAACGGCTTCAGCCTACTAGGGGGGAGGGGGGTCAGGGCAAGACGCCCGACGCTCAGAGTGTGCTGCGAAATCGATTCATGCAACGCTTGCATTCGAGTTTGTAGGATCACTGGTTCGACGATGGGCGAAAACTATTTCTACATAAATAAAAACAGAGTGTGCTGACAAGTGTGCTGTGCAGGCGTCGATAGTAGCAATGGTACAGCCGCGAGAAGACGGGGGCGATAGGCTACCTGGAAGATTGGTACAACAGGCAGCGGTTGGGGTGTGGATGGGAAGATTCAGGTGCCGCGAGCGGCAATGTGGACATCGTCAATTCAACATGAGAGGTCCAAAAAAATGCATTGCAAACTCGGCCTGACGCGCTCACGGTTCCCTATCGCGGCACGGCTTTCCCTATGTGCCTCGAAAGCTGCCTTGCCGGGAAGTCGTCGCCCACCACTGAATCATCGCAGGTTTCGTCATGAGTGCGGTCCGCACTGGCCAGGCAGGTCGCCTGACTGGGAGAGTGACGCCCTGCGATGACAGAGTTGTGTGCGACAAGCTGACAAGATATCCTCGAGGCCCAGGTCGCACTTCCTCCCTCATCACAACACAAATCAACTCATGCCTTGCCGCCACTTTAGGCTGGTCGGCGGGTTTGGATTATTCCTTTTGGCAAAGTACAGTGCAAAGCTGTGGTTTCATAAAAGCACTAACATGCAGTTAGACTAATGAATCATATGTAAGGTTGTTACTTTGTATAAAAGCATGCATGAAAAAACTGCAAGATTAATTATGCTCTGCAAACACACAAAATTATTATCAAAATCACAATTTTCGTGAAACAGTTGGTGTAGTACAATACACGATATGAGGGGATAAAATGCTCTACATGTATTTTTATTCTTATTCATTATTAATCAATATAATAATTGGTTTAATTTATACTCAAAGGATTCCAATCATACTGAAAAACACATTAAAATGTTTAAGTGTGTATGGACATCACTGGAAACTAACAGTGTTTTATGTCTTTGAGTAAGCTCCCCGACTTGAGCATTTTTATGATGTGTTATCGCGGATGGTCTTTGTATCCAAAATGTTTTTGCGCGGTCGGGCTTTGCCGCCGAAATTTCTCCTTCCGTTGTGGCGTCTGCACTGCGCGTCCAGCAACAGCGAGTCGCGGGATGCTGTCCCTTCCCATCAATCTGCCATTCGCGCACAGAACAGCCGCCCCACCATGCATCTCCAGAGCTGCTGGACCTGATGACCAGCCAGCCATGCCATGCGAGTTGCGTGAAGCAGCAACTGAAAAGGTGAGAGTGGGCAGCACCATTCATCACCAACAGCAGGCCGCAGATGGCGACTGCACGAATGCTAGGACTTATCCATCTGGAAATGACTTGTTCCACTCGTAAGCACACATCCCACTAGTCCTCGTCCGCTGTTAGTGTTAGCGTCCAGACTGTGATGCTTTTCTTGTTGAATCCTTCTTTAGCTCCGCAGCGCTAGCAATGGCCAAGCTGCTTCATCTCCTGGTCATCCTTCCCCTGCTTCTCCTCCTCGTCTCGGTTTCCCTTGCCGCCAATGCCCCCCCCGGCTTAAAGTATGGCGCCAAACGCGCCAAAAATGACACGGCGGTTGCACGTCGCTCCCCGCCACTGCCGCCCGCTGGAACCGCGGCCCCTCGATCGAAGCCGCAGGGCAAGACCGTTCGCGCGCCCGCTTCTCCCGCGAAGAAGCGCGCAAGCCCGGCGACAGGCAGTCCGAGGCGGAGCCCCGCAACGGCGAAGAGAGGGCGGAAGGTGCGCGTGCCGCGGACCGGTACGACGGCGGCAAGCAGCAGCCTGAGCCTGATTACGCTGCCCAATAACCAATACAACGCCAAGTGTCTCGACGGCAGGTGTGTGCGCGAGGCGGCGAGGCAGCAGGGAGCCGTGCGGGTGTTGGTCTAGGACCATCTAGCTTGCCTCCAGAGCTCTCAACGCCGCTGCTCCATGTGCTGCATTCCGAGAGCTTTCGACACCTCGCAGCGCTGAAGCTTCCAGTCACATATGCGAAGCCCCAATTACGCGATCACTCCTTGCCTTGCCAATTCCCTTTCCCCTTGCCAATTCCCCCTCGCGTGTGCCTGCCTCTCCCTCCCCACCAGTCCGCCGGCGTACTATCTGCGCACGGGGTACGGCGCGGGCGCCAGCTCGTGGGTGATCTACCTGCAGGGCGGCGGCTGGTGCACGTCCGTCACCGCGTGCGCCGCGCGCGCTAAGACCGTGCTCGGCAGCTCCAACTTCTACCCGCAGCCGTCCGATCCCAACTTCAACAAGATCGTACGTGCCCACCGCAGCCTCGCCCGCGCCGGCGCGTCCTCGTTCGTCACATTTCCGCATTCAGTGACTTGCTGTCCGCTCTCGCTCCGTGGTCCCTTGACTAGATCCCCTGTTCCGTATCCCCCTCTTCCTCGTCAATTCTTCCACCCACGGGCGGCCTCCCCACTTTCGCCGCCACCCCGTTGTGCGCGCAGATGCAAGGGTACGGCAACGCGTTCACGGGCATTCTGAGCAACAACTCGGCGGAGAACCCCGACTTTTACAACTGGAATCTCGCCATGGTCGTCTACTGCGACGGCGGCGGCTTCGCCGGCACGCGGCGCCAGTACGACATGCCCACGGGCGGGTCCATCCACCTGGACGGCTCGCGGGTGTTCAAGTCCGTGCTCGAAGGTGCGGCGAGGGCGGGGTGGATAGGGGACGACCGGAAATCCGGGCCTGCTGCTTGCCTTCTGGAGCCTCAGAGAATCATTTTCGACCGTACTCAGAATCATTCTCAGTTGCGCTCTCACTCCGTTCCTCACCGCACTCGCGTTCCTCCTCTCCCCGCCCCTCAACCCCCTTCTCCCCCCGCCCTCCCCCTCCGTGCGGCGCAGACCTGTACAAGCGCGGGTTGCTGCAGGCGCGCAGGGTGTTGTTCACGGGGTGCTCGGCGGGCGCGCAGGCCGTGTCGTCCATGTGCGACCGCGTGGCGACGTATCTGCCGCCGGGCTCCGTCAAGTGCATGATGGACGCCGGCTTCTTCCTCGGTGAGCCGCGCGCCCATGCCCATGCTCTCACGCATCCGCGTGGCATGGTGCCCTTTAGGGAGCAGGTGTTGAAATAACTCATGGCCCATGAGCACCAGATCGTGTGACGCCGCCCGTCCCTTGCCCCATCACTCGCCGTCTTCTCAATCTGCTGCCTCTTGCCGTCTTCCCTCCGCCCCTTCTCCCTCCCGCCTCCCCCCATCCCCTCCGCCGCCCGCGTGTGTGCGCGGTCTGGCAGACGGGTGGGACGTGACAGGGCGCATGTACTTCCGCGACCTGTCCATGCGCTTCACCGAGCTGCACCGCCCCGCCGTCGAACAGGGCTGCGGCGACGGTGAGCACCACAGGGGCTGGTGGGGTCAAGGGGTACGCCGGGGTTGAAGGGTGGGGGAAAGGGGGGAGAGGGAGGGGCGGAGGGATATGAGAATGCTGGTTCGAATACAGGCTTATGTGATTCTGTTGCTTTCTGTGATCGCTCACTCCTTCGCCCCCCTCCCACCAGCCACCTTCCTTTCCTAATCTCACAAATCCTTGTCCCTACACCCTTGTGGACCCACGTTGCTGTGCTTGGGTGGTGCAGCGTACACGGGGTCGACACAGTACTGGCGGTGTTTCTTCCCCCAGTACAACGTGGAGTTCATCGACACGCCGCTGTACATCGTCAACTCCATCAACGATTACGCCGCCATCGAGATCCTCAACTACGCGCAGAACACCTCCAACAACATCCTCAAGTGCCTCGGCGAGATAGCCCCCAATGGCGGCAGCGGCGGCTATGTGCCGCGCACCACGCGCAACCTGCTGGCCAGCGCTGCGGGGAAAGGCCGCAGCAGCAGGAGCAGTGGCGGTGGTGGGCAAGTGGCCAACTCATCTTGCACGGTGAAGGCACAGGCAGCGCTGAAGAGCTATTCCACACGCATGCTCAAGCGCATTCAGAGCCTTGTGAGGCGACGGCCGCAGCTGGGCAGCTACTTGCTTGGGGCCAGTGCCCACTGCACCACCATCTACCCAACGTGGAGCAACGTTCACCGCAAGGGAGTGTACCTTAGACAGGCCATCGCTGACTGGTACTTCAAAGGCGTCTATGGTGTCACCGGCGCCTCTAACGGTAAAGCCTAGGGAGGAAACGGTCGGTAGAATAAGAACATATTGAACACAAAACACTCTTTTGCTAGGAAAAGAGTTGATTTGTTGATAGGCTTAGGCTCTCTGATGTAGTAACCTAACATATTGTATCACATCATTTTATACAGCTTCCCTCAACCTTATTAGCCCGGATTGTATAAGACCCATGGCCCATGGGCCATGGGTCTTATGACATACTGTTGACAAATTATCCAAAATGTAAGGAATGAGTAATTCCTTACTGAGGCTTGCTACAGGGCGTACGACTCGAACAGTCCCGAACCATCGTCAGGGTTCCAGACCTTTCAGCTCGAGCCTCCTGGGCCTTTCCGGACCTCGCTACGACACATCGGGGCCCTTCGATACTTTATCCGAACCTTCCGACCCTACGTCCAGGATCGCCCTAGGCTTACTATATACAGCGGGTATGCCTTTAGGTCCGTGACATTTTACTCCACATAATACTCCAAGGTCCGGAATTTGATAATTTCCACCACGATGTACTCCGTCTGTGCGGTATACATCTACTGTTAGAGTTCGCTAAAAAGGCGCAAAAATACATAGTGACCAATCATGACAGTCGCATAATGCCACCGACCATCGATTCGCGCCACCCGAATTGGGTGCGATCGCAGCATGCGAGCGTCGCCAACCAACCCGCGAGTACAATCTCGGAAATTCCTCGTGAATTGTGCTTGGAATTGCCTGGCCAATACGCGCATGCTAGGGCGATCCGACGTAATCACGACGGACCCAGGGGGCCAACACAAAATCACAGACAGCCTGCTGGTACCCCCGTCCACCTGGCACTTTTGCATGCGCGCTGACATGGGCATGAATCCGTACCCCTTTTTCATCCATTCTGTCTTATTATTACGGTCCTATTCTAATCCTCGTGTCAAGAGCATTCGGGGCATTTTCCATATTTTAAAACCAATCACGTAAATATTCTGGCTTCCCGCGTGACACGAAAAGGACCGTTTCGAATACGAAAACACGACCCACGGTCCCTCAATCACCCTTAACAACTGCACATTTTGAAAATGATTTTGTCAAGGGGTTTTTTCACTTTCGTTAAAACGTGTAATTGGTTAACGAAACCGCTCAACTCAATCGTCAAAAATTCGTTCCGTTTTGCCCTTTTCGTGAGACCACGAAAAGGGTTTTCTGAACTATTTGTTTCGAGACTGCGCTGCTTGCGGGAATGTCGAGAACGAGGTGTTACCTCTTTTCTGCACGGTAATTCTGACCAGACGACAAATTCGCTGAGCGTTTTTTAAGAAGCCACATGAGCCCTCACATGACACGCGGCGAAATCGCTGGTAACCTGGCCCATTGGCCAATACGCCAAGGCACCCATAGTGAACAAAACGAGTAAAACGGCCTACGCCACCCCTCCTAAAAACACTCGTGCTACTCGATTATCCATTTTGCCCGTAGTGAACCGCTCCTATTCGTCGTAGTCCATATTTGCGAGTCGCGGATTTGGAGCATAGAGCATACCCGCTGTATTGTATTGTCTTTCATTTTATTGTCATCCACTCGTTCACAGTTTCACCATTGCCCTCCGCGCTACTCGGCAGTCCCATTCATAACACTTGGTATTCAGAGCCACTTTCCTCACCCGCTGGGCTTCCGAGGGCATAACAATTTTTTTTGGGGGGGGGGGGGGGGGGGGGGGGGGGGGGAGAGTCATCCCCTCGAGGGCGGTGATTGTCCGTCCTGACATGGCGAATATTTTGAAGAGTCTTTCCGGTATGCTGTTTATTTCGCATATCGTTAAAGGGGCTTCGGTTGCAGTTTCGGAAAATTCGGCAAGGAGCAACGACGATTCGGATTGGTGTTCGAATGGAGCGAGGAGGTCGTCACGAGACGAAAAGCTCGCGGATATCCCCAGGCGAAATGGATTTCGTCAGGAACGCGTGTAGCAAACGTGGCTGCATGGTGAAGTGTAGCTGATGTCAAGGGCTCGGCGTTCCAGCAGGCGACACGCAGGTGAAGACGGGACTTCGGATACTGTTCAGCAAACGCGGCGTTGGAGTTTTCGGCACGACCAAGGATCGCACGGCAGCACACGTGGGGCTCAGGCACGGAAAAGTTTCGAGGAGTACTGACCTCGAAATTGTTTCGCGTGACCTGCCCCCTTGGAGGTGTAATTCGTCTGCCCTGGATTTTCGAGCTCGGCGAGTCTGGATTCCCGCAGAGGAAGCCATTTTCGTGGTCAGAAACTACACCGCAGGATCTACGAAGGACGACCAGCAACTACCCTCGGGTCGAGTTGAAGTGTCTTTCGATGGGTCACCGCTAAAAGTCAACGACGAAGAGCTGTAGCAGAGAAGGAGAACGACTGGGAACAGCCGGGAAATTTTACGGAGTCAGCGGCAGATGGATCCCCCGACTGACTTGGCCGGGTCGCCCGATTTTCAGCACCACCACCAGGTACCAGTTCGAGTTTAAGACTACTCCGACGGTTCTGGCCGAATAAGGGTGGTGAGCCAGCGGATCACCCTGTGCTGCTGGATCGATAAAGAAAACTTCTCGGCGCAACAATGGGAGGCGCGTGAAGCAGGTTGACGAAAAAAGCGAAGGAGTTTTGCGACACTAATCGGACGGTACCCGGAGCTCGATTCCGATACGAACGGCGAGGATGTTTCGCTGCAATCGACAGAGTCGCGAGCTTTTCGAAAGAACGTGCGCGGAACTGTTGGGAGAACGGCGAACGTGGGCACTGGGTGAACAGCAGCCTACGGGGGTTTTACTCTAGAAGCAGCAGTTGAAGAAATTTGCAGCAGTTTGGAGCAGACTTTTTTTGAGAGACGATTTTTTCAGGGAGGGGAAGGAGAATCCCTCACGTAAGCTGCAAAGCGGTTGCCCGCGAATTAGACTGATTAATTCGCCCAAATACGATAGCATTTGCGCTTACCTGAGTACGTGCACACGGCGGATTCACCCCTGCTCTGGAGTGTATTCAACAAAATGGACCTTCGGATTACTGTTGCAGTGGGAAAGGTGTGTTGCCGTCACGGAAAATTTGGAGTCCCGCGGGAGTCTTCAAGGGTTATTCCTGAGTTGCGGGGTTATAATCGAAGACTCGGCTGCGAGGAATCCTTAGGGGATTTACCTTAACAGGCGCAATGACGGGTGAACGTCGGCGCGCCACTAAACGTCGGGTTTGTTCAGGGTGGCAATTCTTCAAGTTTTTGCCTGGAGCGGTAGCTGGGGTCACGGGTACCTACCGAGCTGTGCGAAGGTTTAGATACCAGCATTGTTAGTCGGTGAAACTGCAGAGAACGCGTTTTTCGTAGCTGAGAACTGTACCCGAGTTTTTCTGGGGTACCTGCCGAAGCCGCGCGATGGGTGAACGTCTGCACGGCGAACCGGTCAGGTGGAGTTGAGAAATTTTATACAGAGGGCAACAACACGAAGCAGATCGACGGCATTCTGCGGAGCAGAATATCGATCGACGGCGTCGGATTGAGCTAGAGTCTACTTGGCGCAGCTGCTCTGTGTTATAGGGTCGCGCTGAGACTGGTTCCGACGAGCAGAAGTTGAAGATACGTCAAGGTTTCGGGTCTGAAGAAACTTGAAGCAGGGTATTTTCGGCATCAGTTGTTTTTTTGGATTTTTCCTTGACAAGTTTGACATCCGCTGCATGAGCATCGACGGACAGATGATGTTTGACCGTCTGAATCGACGAAAATATTCGAGTTGGCATTTCGGGAATGTCGCAGGAGTTTGCGAAAATGAAAGGCGTGTTAAGTTTAACCGCCTGAATCGACATCGACTACGGTTACTGGACTGCTTGTGTTTTGGTCCATGTGCTGATGGAATTCGTTGACTTTCGTGAGACACGGACGCGTGTTCTCGCATGTGTCGCGAATGACCTCGCAATTGACGAAGGCATGTAGTTCGTTGACTGTGCGAAATACGGACGCGTGTTTCTTCGAGTGTCACGAATCACGTGGGATTAAACGAGGAGCGATCTACAGTTACGGAGCTACTGACAAGTTTGGCGCTATGCAGAAGATTCGGCTCGCCAACTTGCGGCCGCGTGAATATCGTAGTGTTTCTGTGCGGATACAGTACACGACGACGGGAGATGTAATCCTCGGCGAAAGACTCGCTGGAGACAAGGAAGCTGTGGTGCGGTAGTATCCCTACTGCCTGTTTGGTTATCTGGGTAATTCGACCAAGATTAGACGGCTACGATTGACCGCGATCGTTTCGACACGTTTTGACCGTTGGATGGAGTTTCCTTGAAGAAGCTCGAGATTCTCAACAGTGGTGGCTTCACTACTACGAGATTCAGTTAGAGTGTGTGTAGTTTTATATATTTCTGTGCTTATCTAGAAGGGGGGAGAGTGTAAGGAATAAGTAATTCCTTACTGAGGCTTGCTACAGGGCGTACGACTCGAACAGTCCCGAACCATCGTCAGGGTTCCATACCTTTCAGTTCGAGCCTCCTGGGCCTTTCCGGACCTCACTACGACACATCGGGGCCCTTCGATACTTTTCCCGAACCTTCCGATCCTACGTCCAGGATTGCTCTAGGCTTTCTATATATTGTATTGTCTTTTTTTTTTTTTGTCATTCACTCGTTCACAGTTTCGCCATTGCCCTCCGCGCTACTCGGCAGTCCCATTCATAACATAAATAATCCTAGATCCAGGGGCAAAAAATCGGGTTACCAAAAGATCAGTACCTAATGGAATGTAAGGAAAAAAAAAATCCTTACTGGGCTCGACTACAGCATTTATGCCCTTAACTCTCGAAAGTCCAGGCTCGGCCAACTTCTTCGGTCCCGAACCACTTAGTGAACCCAAACCTAGACGCGTGGTGCTTCCGTAGCTTTCGCCAACCGGACCTCCCCAACCTGCTCACGTGGTTCTCGGCTAGCCCCGTTCGTGTCTATAAATGCCTAGACCCTCATTTGTATCGACACTCTTGAATCACGACTCCTTTATTGCACTACCTGTTATTACTCTGATTAATTCATAACAGCTGGAATCAAAGCTCCGTTCTTGCCTGCTTAATCTTCGTAGAGTAGCCCGTTTATATCGGGAGAGGACCCGACAAAATAGGGGGTTGGCCAGCGGTTGGTAGGTGAACTTGTTAAAGCTCCTCCAACTAGAAGC